CCATTATAGTAAATATTATAGATGCATGAACTGACTGCCCAAATATTTATAATATGTAGAACAATAAAACGCCAAAGCACGCATTTTGATTGTAGCTATTATAAATAAAATAAAATTAACCCACCAATTGTATTTTATGTTGATGAATTATACAAAAGGTACGTGAATACTGATTAATGGCACTGACACGGAAATGCCCCAGGTTCAATTTGTAATTATAATCAACAAATCCTGAATGGAGCATAATTAAAACGATTATAAGGCCAAATGTTTTATTAATATGATTATTGATTTTAAGAATGTTTGGTTTTAACGTAATTGTAAAAGATACGTGTTCCGGATTTTGAGCTTTATATTTTCCTAGCAACTTAGTATAATTTTGCATTGAGGGGGCAAAGAATATTTTATATGTTTAAGATTTTTAATTAAATAATCAGAAAGTATTGATATATGTTTTAAAAATAATTCGAGCAGACTGATGTCGCTCTCTTTAATTTTAGTATTGGTTCTAATAAAGGTTCACAAACCCATACAAATAGTAATATCTAAATCAATCATGGGACTCTCTGGAAGGGCATTTTATATAATAACCCGATGTTTTTTCAGCTAATGCTGCTGGCCTCCAGATTGTGTGTCTATACGAATGTATAGAGTTGCTTGCTCGAATGTTTCCACAAAACTCAAGCGGGTCGGGACATTGGGCCACAGACAGACAGGACTCGAGAGGACAGGCCAGGACAGGACTCCTCCTATGCAGCGTCTTCTGGCTGGGATGAGACCAAGGACTTCCAGGGTCGAACTGAGTGACTGAACTGAACTGAACTGAGCAGAGGAGCAAGCAAAGCAATTTTTATGGAAGCACAATTCTACAGGAGGAGCGCAAAATAAATGCCGCGTTATGGGACCCGAGTTTCCGAGCTGCGAGTTTCCTAGCTGCCGCACTGCCTCAGCCTCATCCTCACTGCCACTGGGACAAGGGCACAGACGCATGCTGGAAAACGCTGCTTGGAAAAAATGAAAAGCACAAAAAAGGAAACACCAAAAGGGAAAAAACTGCTGAGCTAACGATGTGTGATTTTTCTGTATGGCTGGCTGATGGGAGGGAAATGGGGAAATGGATGGGGGCGACAATTGGGCCGGGGTTAGGACTCTTTTTAGGTTTCTGGTTCGGGTTTCTGGGTTCTGGGTTCGGGCTTGGGTTCGAGCCGGGGCATAAAAAAATAATAATAAATGAAAGTGTTGGCGCTGGCTCGTGGTACGTGTAATAACATTCAAGTGCGCCAAGTTTAATCTTTCAAAATGCTTATGCACAAAAAATAAGCTATAGCTGTACAGCCCCAAAGTCGGAGGACTGGGAAGTGGGGCGATGGAGTGTCAGCGGGCGAAAAGTAATGGGGAAAAAAATAATAAGCCAGGGCAACGGCGAAAAAAATAATGCGAGGGTAATTTACGTTTAGAGCCTGCAAAATTATTCAAATTAAAATTGTAAGTATTCTAACGCGTCGCAGGCATCTGCGGCCCACCAGCTGCGGTGCGCTGCAGGACCAAAAAGCGGGCAAGTACACTGGGGAAAATCAGGAGGTTAGATTTGGATGATTGATGCTAGAGTTCAGGAAAATCAACAAGAGTTTGCATTACATTCGCCATTAGTAAAAATACAAGGCCGATAAGGAAATCAAAAGTGTTTTGAAACCACTAACAAATGCATGCAACAATATGCATTCAAAAGGCCAAGTGCATTTTTTGTTGAGCTGAAGATACTAACAATTAAGTTGACATGTTTTCCAAATTACACCTTTACAAGATTCCTCTTCGTAAGAATTTATGTCCCCCATGCGGACGTTTTTCTTCCGGTGTATAGCCCAAAGTGGGTGCGGGAAAAGGAAAGAGACAAGCGAGGAAGCGAGAGCGCTGACCCAGCGCTGTGTTAAATTAGCTGGGACACTTAATTTCTGTTGACGCGCACATTTTTCTATGGAAATTAACGCTAAATAATTTTTTGGATTCGCCAGCGAATCGTTCAGGCAGCAGACCGAGGCGAAGGACCTCCCACTCCTGCTGATCTCCTCATTCTCGCAGGACTCCTTGGCCCACCATTTGCTTTCGGCTTAGGCTGGAGTTGGCAATTAGGCCCGGGGTGTTTGAATTAGTTTCGTGTTTTAATGAGTTTCATAACTTTTTGGTTCCGTTGTAAATTTTGCAGCAGCAACAAAACACACATAAAAGATGCGTGCAACGGTTAAAACGGTGGGCTGTGGGTAGTGGGTGGTGGTTGATAGGGGGGGCGGGAAACCCAGAAGGAAAACGAGCAAATTTCCATGTTACTACTGAGGGAAACCCTCGGGTGGATTTATGTATGTATTTGTTAGCCATACCCAGTGACATAAGCGAAAGCAAAGTGGCAAAAAGCAACATGAAAAATGCTTTAAATCTTGTCAAACGCGGGGGTGGTGGGGGTGTGGGAGGAAGGGCGTTTAGGGTCGGAGGTCAGGTCTCAGATGTGTGTCTGTGTGCATGCTAATGATATTTTAAGAGAGCTTTCACTGGGCCCGCACATGTGTGAGTGGGCAAAGTGAAAAATTATTTATGTTGCCTACTTATTGGGGCATGCAAATGCGCATTGTTATGCAAAACGTTTCTAAATTCCCGCCATAAATTGAATTATCCAGCGGATCAAACTATCCAGCAATTTGCCATGTAATATTTAAGAGCGCTCTAATTAATTAAACATCACAGTGTCCGAAACAGCACACTCCGCCAAAAAAAAAGCAGCGAAAGCCTGTCAGAACCCCCCAAAAAAAAGAGCGAAAATTCCAATGACAAATGGGGCTCGCTGTTAAATATTTGCAGGAAAACCCTTTTTCCGGCATAAAAACGGGAAAACACCAAACGTTTCTATCTCCTTTGCACACACCATTTATTTCCCTCTCGCTCTCTCTCCCCGCTTCCTTTGTTTGCAGCCACCATTCAACTGTAATTACTTAGGTAGACCCGATCCGAAGCGATACGGGAATAAGCCTCTTTTGCAGAGAAAGAAAAACTTTGAATTTTCTTTTAATTTTTCATTGTTAAATTGCCATTTCGGGGGGCGGGCTGAGACAAAGTGTGGCGTGTGCAGGGATGCGCCAAAACAGAAACGGAAAAAGCAATCCAAAAGCAAAGCAGAGAACAGAAAACTGAAGCTGGCAAAAGGACAAACAAATTGAAACTTTATACAGTTGGCAAAAGTTGAACGGAGCAAATCAAAGGCAGCAAACCCGAAAGGGTTAACAAATTTGCAACATTTTGCAGGTCCACGAAATGGGAACCGATTTTGATGTAGGTCGGTCAGGCCGGTCGGGAAAGATTTAAACAAATTTAATAAAGCCAAAGGGATCCAAGAAAGGCAGTGGGTAGAAGAGTTCGGCTCCTGAAAATGCAAGGAAACCTCATTACTGGCGAGTGTCTTTCATCATCTAGCTTCTTCTACTTGTCTTGTTTCAATTGGATATTAAAGAAGTCCAGTCAACGGAATGTTATTTAAATCCAATCCTCCTGCTTTTAAATTGTGCTCCAATTGAAGGCAGAGTTAATAATGGAATATTGGCCAAAGTTTGCAAACACAACTCACTACTAAGGTAAACTTCAGCTATCGTTTTGGGTCAGCAGTGGTATAACCGAACTTAATAAACCCAATAAAAGCAGAAGCCAGCCAACCAAATTCAATTTTTACATAAAACAAATTAGAAGCAACTTGAAAGATATCAAAAGTAAATTCCTGCCAAAGAAATATACCCAGAAATAGATAGAAATCCAAAAAAAATAAATAAAAGGAGTGAACAATGGTCAGTTCCTGAAATTTAAGGCAAGAGCTTGAACTGGAACTGATTGCTGTGCAGTAAATTTAATAAAGTTAAAAAAAAAGCAGAAGCCCAGCCAGTCAGTGGAAATTGTACGCAAAACCCATTAAGAGCAGCCAGGAAAGCACTCGTATCTAGACAAAATCTTGTGCAAAATAAATGCGGAGGGAAATAAATAAATATCAAACCATAAATAAATAAAAGTTGTGAACAAGCAAATGCCCTGTCCGCCAGTTGGCAAACATTTACAACTCCAGAAGCAGAAACAGAAAAACCAGTAGAAGCAGCACAAGCACCGAAAGATACAAGATACACACGTCAGCGTCGGCTTTGTGTACTCGTATCTCGTGGGTAGTTGCGGTCGTGGGCGGCGACACGCCCCTTTCGCACAAAAATCAATATGTTGATTTGAACTTTCTTCTCGCTTCGCCCCTTTTTTACTGTCTTATGTTTTCTGTTTGGCCGCCACAAAGTTTTGCGCCAAGGAATTATCAATTTCTTTCGTTCTTTTCTTGTTTTGGCCAACTCAACTCTACTCAAGTCAAGTCGACTCGACTCTATGAAAGGAACGCAGGCCAAAAGCTGCCATTATCTGCTTACATATTCATGTGTATGTACCACAAATGTCCGTATGTATTTCTATATATAAGCGGATATTTTTGACACTTCAAAAATTGGAATATCTCAAGAGCGGAGGCGACAGGCGAGCAAAATGCCCTGTGTAATTTTTCATGACTCTGCGTCCCATCTGGGACCCACTGGGTACCAGCTCCATTCAAAATCGTAGCAGATTGAGCTGTTGAGCTGGGCGTTTGGGAATGGGAATGGAAATGGGTATCCCCCGCATGTATTTATATCTTCCTATACAGGAAGGAGGAACCAGCATGACAACTGAGCCTGCTCCCTCGCATTTTGGCTGTGTGCGGCCTGCCACTTTTTTTATTATTTCGCAAATATCGATAAGGGGAGATAGGCGAACCCAATGCCATCTCCGTGTCACTCCGTCTGTCTTCCCACTTCGCCTTCGCAATATTTGGCGACAGTAAATGTTTGCTAAATATCCTCAGTAAATACTTGGCAGCTTATGTGGGTGCTGCACACACACAATCATTCGTACATAAATAAATAAGTGTTTCTACAGTGAAATCATGGCTTACTTACAGTGCTCAACGGCAGTGATGACTCAAAGGAAGTGCGCCAAAATCTGCAAGAAAAAGACAAACAAGAAAAGGTTAACAGATATGAACAGATAACTCGAGGTGGCACAGAAATCGCCACTGTTTTACAAAGGTGTCGAAAAGTATGCAACTCAATTTATTATATACATCTTTATTAGTTATAAGTTATTAAAATCCTGTAATTTCTGTGACATTTCTAATATTATTACTAAAATAATAATTATTACTATAAGTATCCTAATTTAAACCATAAATTGCATTATAAGAAAAAACATTTGCAGTGCTGAAGCAGCCATGCAAACATCTTCCATTAAGTTAAGTCATCTTAAAAAAGGCCAAATCTCCCCGAATAAATGACACGGTGACATCACTGTTCAGCAGTTCGGCTCAATGGTTCGATTCCTTAGCCCTTTGAGGCTGTCAGGACTACTTACTGTACTCCACTGAGCCCGCTGAGCCCGGCTTTCTTTGGCCGGATGTCTGGCAGCAGTGAGTACTGGGATATAACGCACTTTAAAGCTCGTCTGGGACGAAGAGCATAATGTGCGAGGGCATCATTAATGAATTTATGTATTCGTAATCGCATCGAATACACGCCCAATCAACGCTGCGTATACGCAACCTCTGGAAGTTTATATCGACGGCAGGCTTACCCAAGAGATTGGTTTTATTTTACATATATACGTTTCGGGGCTCCCAAGTCTCGGGCGATTCATTAGTTTCTATTTCAGTGGCTGGCAATTCAATCAGGTTGATCAGTTTTCAATATTGCAGCTATATTGCCTCGGTCTATCTAGCTCTGCTTGGGCCTCTCTGCCTTTCTCCGGTCTCCCCGGCTGTTTGGGAGACAGTAAAGTAAATTTAGTTAACCAACCATAAAAAATTGTGTGCGAAAATGTGGGTGAGTGCTTTGGCCACTGCCACAACTTTTCCCGACCTCTCCGCCGCCCTCAGGTCGCTACTTCTTATTCGCCCTGCTCTGCTATTCACACATATTACGTATACGACACATAGTTGGGCCAAAAGTTGATGATGTGGTTATAGTTGCTGCTGCTGCTTCTGCTCATTAGAGCCGCGTTCGCGCCGAAAAATCTGTAACACATAAAAGTATGCAACATGAAATGTGCTAACGACAAACCCACACGGTGAGAAATCCTCAAGAATTCGCGTTCTACCGAAGTATTTCATTTTGAGGTGTGTCAAAAAAATATCAATTGGACTTTTTATTATATTTTTAAAGTCCCAAACGAAATATCACCAAAAATATCATTGGCTGTTTTTGATTTCCAACACCAAACAAAATAAATATTTTCATATTTTCACTATCGCATACTGTTTGATCAAATTTGACCTACTCATGACCCAATTGCTGATATTTTGTCGCGGTGCAGCATCGAAAGAGAAAGCTATGGATGGGGATAAAGAGCGAGTGCTGCCGGGTGATTCCCAGATATTATCAGGAAAGTTATTGGCGGGCTGGGTGGTCAGTGGGCGGAATGGGTAGATGGTGGATGGGGAGGTGAACTGCTGCTAAGCATTAAATTTATGAATCCACAGCGAAGTGTCTTCCCCCACTTGGTGGCTCATAACTCGAAGTCAGCTTAGAGCCGGGTATTCAGGATCCAGGATCCACTAGCCAGCAGTCAGTTACCAGTAACCAAGGCGACTGTGGCGCCGACAGGAAGTTACGTGACTCGTGGGCATAAGTCCGAGCTGCATTTCACCTTATTTGCTTGGACTTCATCCGCCTGGCCTGCTCCTCTTCTTTTACTTTTGGCTCTCCACGCTAATGGCTAAGTCGGGCCAAGCAGCCAAGTGATAAATTCCGGGCCAAATAGAAACGAAGTGGCCGGGAAATTTACATTATCACGCGAGGCGCCCTGGACAATATAGTTATGCAAATAGCCCCACGAATTACATAAATTGCGTATACGCAGCGAGGCCCAGACACATTGATATAAATTCATATTCAAATGGCCAAATGGAGGCGAGTGGGGGAAGGGCGGTGAAAAAGGAAAACATTTGCACAACATTCGAGATACACTCGCATATCTCACACAACCGCTCGGTGGGCTGGGTGTGCTGCCTGTGTCTCCGGCAAATTAAGGCGGGCCCAAAGGAAAAAGGACAAAGGGCCTGTAAATAGCGGAAAATGTTAAACGACCGACCGTCTACCATCGACGTCGGAGGTACGCAAATTGATATTTTTCTACAACATGCAAATAACACGAGTAATGCGAGTGCAGGGGCAGGAAAAGTGCGGGAAATGGGCGAAACGGGAGGGGTGAGGCCTTTCCCTGCGCAAATAAATGATCTGATAAGACAACAACAAACGTAAAAATTTATGCATGCCAACTAAAGCACACACACTGGCACACACCCACCGGAAGTGGGTGGTAAACGGGTGGGTGCCACGTGTAGGAAGCTGTGGAAAAATGAAATAAAGTTAAACAGGATATTTCAACATTCTCACAACAGAAGCAACAGCAAACAAAACAACTGAAAGTAAAAGCTAACGAGGGCGGTGAAGGGCCGGGCAGGGGGCGGGGGCGTGGCAAGGACGTTGCCAGGACACATTCCGATTCGGTGTGTTAAAATGTAATAGCAACGTTAATGAACACGAACGCAGTGGCAGTCGCAATGGAAATGGTCACATAAAAAAGGCAACGATTCGGCCGGCCTCTGCTCCTTTCATTGCTTTTTTGTGCCTGTGTGCCCTCCTCCCTTTTTTCCACCCGCCCCACAGGTTGTGGTTGTAAAACACGCACACACACTTGCCCGCAGAAGGACTCACAGCCACACGGCCAAAGACAGGACATTAGCAGAGAGAGCAAAAAGTTAGCAAAGCGCAGGAAGTGCGCGGATGAGAGCCAAACAAATCTCAGCCACGCACGTCTTTGGCAGCCTCGTGAAAACCACCATCCCACCACACCACCCCCACCAGCAACCACCCCACACCCTGACATTGGACCCCCTTTCTCCGCTTTCCCCCAACTCCACCCAATCGTGGTTCGCTTTCTTTGTTGTCTCCCAAAAAACAAATTGCGCCGTCGTCGTCGTCATCGTGCGCTATTGGTACACTCACGAAAAAAGGTGCCAGGAATTCGCGTTCTCTGTTACATGGGAACATAATGCACCCTTTTTGGAGTGGAATTTTTTACACATGCATGTGTTCTTATGTATGCCCTCAATGATTTTGATACGAAGATTACCAATATACAACTATCGGGTGAAATAAGTATTGAACTAGCCCATAAAATATTACCATCTTACCATACCTTAAAGGTGGTTAAATACCTTTAAAATATTTTTGTATGTATCTTAATAATCCCTTATTAGCATGTTTTTGTGAAATGCATTTTTTTTCAGTGTTTCTGATGTTCCTGACTTGTCTGCGGGTTCCACTGTTGTCGAGGCCAACTGCCTGCTTCCCTATCTACGACTCCGGTCTTGCCCGGGTACGCACCCAATAGTCGCCCAATGCTGCGGGGAATGTCACCACGTTGGCGATGCGTGAACAGTCGCAGTCAGTGATTCAATCACTGCGAACCGCCGACTTAATGGAATGCGAACTGAAGCAGATATTTTTTACAGGACCAGCGATTTTTAATCGCTTATAGCCACTCTTATATTGAGGTTTATTTAATAGTAAATACCAAATATGATATGTTGTCTTCTTAAACAGAGCGAACACAATGCAACTAGCTGTTGATTATTGAATCATAAGAAGCGAACATCATAGTTTACTTTAAAGAGTATCCATTGAACAACATTTTTCGGTTTTAATTCCTGTTCCAAAACCTCTTATATAGAAACCAGAGTTTGCGTCTCTTTTTCCTTGGCCCCCAGTTCCACCTTCTCCAGTTATCCCCGGCGTGTAAGAAAAGCGCAGGCTAAGGAGCTTATGAGATTATAACTCCCCGTACTTCGATTCTTTCGCCTGACTGACTGGGGGAACAGCCTCACTAAACCGGAGCTTAATAGTGGTTGGATGGGAGGCTGAGCACACAAGGGTACCAATTAACCACAAGGGCGAACTGCGAAATGCGAGTTCTACTGCAGCAATTATAAACTAATTCCATTCGGGCTCAATCACAGTTTTGCCCCATCACTGTTTGCCTGTTTTTCCCGGGGCAGGTGGTGAGTGGGATTTCAGGGCTGTCGGTTTCAATGAGGCAGTTTACACCGTTTGCCTGGTATTTGATGAGCATCTCGTGCGCGACACTTTGGCCCCATAATGATGCGTGTGCCACCCCGAAATCCTCCCCTAAGCAATCCCCTTACCGAATTCGGGCCCAATTTGCGGATCTTGGCTTGTTGCGCTGCTCATAAACATCGCAGCTTACTCCGCTGCGAGACATTTTTATGTCATCCGATCCGTTAACGAATTTTCCAATAGGCCCTTTGCTGGCTGCTCAATTTTCCGCCCTGAATTACCAAATTGGATGCCCAATACTTGCTGGGGTTAAGCAGCAGGCAATTTATGAATACCTTAATACGGTTTATAGTCGAAATATTTACCCACCAAAAACACGGGCTGAAATGCGAGAACATCCTGGCAAAATAATATAATAAAAAGGAGCCAGCCTGACAACGCGCAATGAAGATGTCGATGTCCTGGTCGACTGGGGCGTAATGAAAATAACTGACATTAAGCAGATGAAGCGGTCCTGGACAACGTGGCCAAATGGGCGGGCGGAAAATGTGGAAAATCGGGGGGAAATAGGGGGAAATCGGAGGGAAATCGGCAGGCAGAAGCGAAGAGCTGCGAGCGGAGCATAAAATATTAAACGGGAAACCTTCGTAATTAAAGTGAAATGAATTTAAGTACGCAAATTGAACGTTGAGGAAGTCAGGAGTCGGGACTCGTATCCTCGCATCCTCGTGTCGATGTCTGCACTCAGAAAATTTTGTCTGCTATACAGAGTTAACCAGACTATTAAAATGACAATATTAATTAGTTTTATTATTCTGAATAGATTGGCTTATATATGAAAACATTATTTAAAACTAGGAATGACAAAAT